GGTTCAAAGAAAGGTGTGAAACCTGCTATATACACTACCAGTGCTTTGGTTTTTGTTTTCTTGATTTAATTTTTTTAATTTGAAGAGCTCACTTAGAAGGACACACACACACACACACAGGCAGACAGGTGTGCTTCCATCCACTGGTTTACTGCCCCAGAGTATGATGGTTCTGAGCCAGGCGGAAGCCAGGAACTAGAAGTTGTGCCTGGTCTCCTGTGTGGGTGCAGAGACCCAGGCACCTAGGCCGTCTTCCACTGCTTGTCCTAGGTGCATTAGCACGAAACTGGATTAGAAGTAGAACAGCCTGTGCTTGAACTGGCACCCATGTAGGATGCCATCTCGTATGTGGGCGGCTTAAACCACTGTGCCACAAGTCTTGCCCCAACACATCAAGCCTCTTAGTTATTGGACAGAATTTTAAAACTGGTAATTGCAGCTTGAGCTTAGCATAAGCGTCTAGTATGATGGTACCAGCCACATAGATCTACTTTTATAGATAAGTTTTGGGGATTTGTCCCCATTGCATCTGGATTTTGTTTTACATTTGAAAAATATTTGAAGTGATTGCCTGTTTTAAGTACTATATTTTAATATGAATACAGTATCCCAAAATTAATCATATGTTTCCAAGTAACAAAAATAGAAAAAAATCATGTTTGTATTTTGGTACAAATGAAGATCTCTTACTTAACCTTCTATAATATTGAATCTTAATAAAATTTTTTCTGTTTCTCCAAGATGAAGTACCGAGTATTGTTTGGTACTGAGACTGTCAGGAGGCTGCTGTTAGAGCACCCAGTCTGGCCTGGCCTGGCTCTTAAGCAAAGTTGTTGAAGCTGGGACTTGCACAGACATTACTGCTGGCTCCCTGCTGGCCTGGCTTCAGAAAGAATTGCATGGGCTGCGTTTCAGTCATCCTTCCCTTTTATGCATTTTTAGGAAAGAATTCAAAGTTTAGAAATAGCATCCTCATTCTTAAACTATTGTAGGGTATCTGCATTTTTGTTTGGGAGAGAACTGTTAATAATACATTAAAATGGAATGTGTGTGATTTGGAATATTGGCATTGATTTTTGGCATCGTCTGTGCTTGATGCCCAATGTGCAGGAGATATTTTGTTAAGAAGTCTTTTTTTCCTTGTTACAGTTACCACAAGAAGACATACTGAATGTTAAGTTATCTGGAATCTGCCTAACAGTTATGGAAACATTTAGATACTTATATTGAAGTATAGTCCTGGAGCTTTTGCAGAACTACTCTGAAATTTACGAAGGGTTTTCAGAAAGTTCATAGAAGTTGTGTATTGTGAAAATGCTCTGCATGGATTTTAGATTGTTTTTGCACAAAGAATAAACTTATGTCCTTATTTGTTTTTAAAATGTTGATTTACTTGAAAGGCAGAGTGATGAGAGACAGGGGGAAGAAGAAGAGCTTCCTTTTGCTGGTTCATTTCCCAAATGCCCAGAACAGGTGGGCTGGCCTGACCCAGGCCTGGGACCTGCGGCCTGCTCCTCCCACTGGGACAGGAGAGGCCAGCCGTGCTGGGTTAGAGAGCAAGGTAGTCAGGGCTCCAGGTAGCACTGCCACAGGGAGGCTGCCATTGCAGATGGTCGTCGGGCCACCCTGCCACAGCACGGCTGTTTCTTTTCAAATTTCTTTTTAACATTTTATTTTCAGGATGGTTTCAGATTTACAAAACAAAAGTTGTGAAGTCGCAATATAAAGATTTGCTCACACCACATCCCTAACATCTCATGTTAGTGTATTTGTCACAATTAATGCACCCAGTTTCCCATTCGTTCAATAAAGAACCTCCTTCCGTCCCTCCCTTGCCACCACCAAACCCTAGCAGTCAACTTTCTGTGTTCAGATTTTTAAGAAATTTTAGCTTTCTCATGAGGGAATACATACATTTATCTGTACCTGGCTTGTTTCTCTTAACATGATATCCATTTTCTTGCAAATGACAAATTTTCTTTTCTATGGATAAATGGCATTGCATTGTGTAAATTAATGTAATACTGTAAGTGTTCTCTAGTATTTAAGAATGTGGTATTCTCTAGAATGAGTGTTTGTTGTGTACAAGCACTGCCAAATCTGACCTTTGTAGACATTTCATTCACAGCTCACGCTAACCCTCGTCTCCCAAGCCCCTGGATTGATTAAGCGCTGCTAGAGTGTCATGTCATTTCAGCCACAGTGCTTCTGTCAGATTGAATAGCAGAGAATCTTACTTTAGTGAATAATAGTCTCTCTTCAAAATTGTAGATTTAGTGTTGTAGATTTTTGTTGTTGTTATTAAAGCTTCATTTATTCCTTTACAATTTAAATTGCAGAGGGAGAGATTGTCCATCTGCTGGTTCGCTCCCCATGTGGCTAGGGCAAGACCAGACCCAAGCCAGAAGCTTCTTGTGGGTCTCCTGTGTGGGTACTAGGGCCCAGGCACTCGGGTTGTCCTCTGCTGCTTTCCCAGGCCCGTTAGCTGGGATCCGTGTGGAATTTAGAATTTTGATACTTTCTGGGAAAAGGAATATTAGAACATACATGACACTTAATACTGGGCAGAATGTAGATCTTTTTTAATTCTCTTGAACCTGTAAGTTAACCATTTCTGCAGTTTTATAATTGAACATATTTAACCAGGATTAGATGCGTAGGTTAGATGTAGAACTAAGATTCACCCTACGGTTGACTTGAAACATATATGAATATAAAAGGCCTGTATGTGAAATATTTTGCCACAAGAAATTGTTTGGGAAGTGGAGAGTGATGGGGACTTGAGGGGTAGAGACAGAAATAGAGGTAGTATGAGAGAGAGAGAGAGAGACCCTCCTTCCCTTTATTTACTCCCCAGATAACTGGAGGAGGACTGGGCTGAAGGAAGCCTGAAGGAAGCCTGGAGCCCAGAACTCTGTATGGGGGTCTCACGGGGGTGGAAGGGGCCCATGTGGTTGGGTCATCATCTGCTTTGCCAAGCATACTGGCAGGGAGCTGAGTTGGAAATAGCAGCTGTGACTCCAACTGGTATCTGGCTGTAGAATCCAGAGGTGAATGTGGTGGAATAACCCACTCCCTGTGTGCCACACAATACTGCCTGTTTTTCACTTATATAAAAATTTACCCAAAACGATCATTTTTACCATAAATAAATAAAATGGAAGATATTACATTGACTTGGAGAATAAGAGATTTTGAGAAAGCCCTTGAACACTAAAAAATGCTTGTTTGAAAGAATATGGGTGAAAACCTAGATTAAACTCATGGCTTACTTTGCTTTGAAACAGAAGACACAACTTTTCTCCAAATGTTAAGTGATAGTAACTGCAGGAATATTTTTAGCATTAATAATGTGAAATTCTTGAGAACGTGAGTAAATGAGATAATTTTTATTAATTATGTTAGCCATTGCTTTAGGGGAACTAGGGAGTAAATTAAAACCAATTCCATGATATTTATAGCAGTCTCAATTTCACTGTCTAGAGAGGCATGATCTAGAATGTAGCTTATCTGATTTCAATTTGCCAGTACCTACATGAATTGGTGAATTTTTTTTTTTTTTTTTTTGTTGTTATTTTTCAAAATTGTGGACACCGTGTGCTTAGCAAAAAACTCAGCGCTGGGGGCCGTCCTATGGTATGTGAGCCGAGCTTCCACCTGGGGCACTGGCATTCCATAATGGTCTGCTTCTTGTCCCCACTGCTCCTCTTCCCATCCAGCTCCCTGCTTCAGGCCTGGGAGAGCAGTGGAGGACAGACAGCTCAGGTCCTCGGGTTTCTGCACGCACATGAGAGACCTCGGGGAGCCCCTGATTCTCTTCCTGTCTTTGGATCTGCTCATCTTCAGTCATTGTGGCTGTGGCCACTTGGGAAATGAGCCAGTAGGGGGAAGTTCTCTGTCTTTATCTCTCAAATAAAATAGATCTTTTTCAAAAAAGATATCAGTTAAGTTTGCCTGTAGCCTGCTCTTACTAGTGAACTCTAAGCAAACCCTGTCTCCAGGGAAGGTTTGAGAATGGACGCCTCAGTGTGCACTGGTGCCTGGGGTCCTGCAGGCGTGAGAACAGCGAGGGCCGACAACGTGGGAACGTGGCCATCTCTGCCCCTCCAAAATTACATCTTTTGGCTGTTTGAAATTAATTTCTTTGGTAGCTCAGGTTTTAAATAACAGAAAACAGACTCCAAAGCCAAATTGAAATACTTTTTATGTTAAGCCTTCCTAATTTATTCTCTCGCTAGTTGATTTCCTTGACCTTAGTGTCATTGCTGTGGATCATTGAAGGGGTGATGACTACACATTTTTTTTTTTTTAAAGATTTATTTTTATTATTTTTTCATTGGAAAGGCAGATATACAGAGAGGAGAGACAGAGAGGAAGATCTTCCGTCCGATGATTCACTCCCCAAGTGAGCGCAACGGGCCGATACTATGCCGATCCGAAGCCAGGAGCCTCTTCCGGGTCTCCCACGCGGGTGCAGGTTCCCAAAGCTTTTGGGCCGTCCTCGACTGCTTTCCCAGGCCACAGGCAGGGAGCTGGAAGGGAAGCGGGGCTGCCGGGATTAGAACCGGCGCCCATATGGGATCCCGGGCGTGCAAGGCGAGGACCTTTAACCAATTGCGCCACCGCGCCGGGCCCCGACTACACATTTAAAAATATGAACCTGGGGAATTTTCTTGACTTGTTTGATCAGATACTGTGTTTGTGATTTGGACTTCACAGCCAGTGTTTGTTCCCTGAAAGACTTTGTTAAGAATTTGAGTTTCTTTCCTTCCAAATGTAAGCCTTTTCCTCACTGTCTCCCTTCAACTCCACCTTGGTCTGTTCAAGGAACCACCGAAGTCCCTGGAGAGTCTGCAATAAGACCGAAACTTTAAAAGTTAAAAAATACTTTAAGTTGCCAAAAGGTTTTGATATTTTGATTAGCTTGTAAACTCCATGGTTTAAGTGGAAGATGTTTCATTGTGTGTTTGTTACCGTGTTTGCTGTTTTTTGGTCAACAGGATGAAGGTAGATAATGACTATAACGCCCTTCGGGAGAGACTCAGCACCCTGCCGGATAAGTTGTCCTATAATATCATGGTAAGTTGTCGTATAATATCATGGTAAGTTTGCTATGCTTTTTTTTTTAAAGCAGTGCAGTTTCCTGCAAGCATATTAACTATGTAAAACAATGTGTTATTTTGGACTATATGTGAACCAGTTCACAAATTGTGCTGCTCATGGGAATGTAGGAAAAACCAGCTTAGCAGGGAAAGGTTTTTTTTCCCTCATTTTATAACAATATAACAGTTATAGACATAGTTGGTATTTTCTTTTTTCCAGATATATATGAAACTGTTACATTGTAATGACATACTTGAAATGCATACTTCATAAAAAAACTGTGATTATAACAAAAATATAGCGCTGAATCATTTCCTGTTGACAGAGTAGGAAAAGGACATAATATTTTTGTAATTCACAGATTTAAATTCCAGAACATTGATTTTTATATAAAAAGATGTGGCTAATTTTTGCGTTAATGAACTTAATGCCAAAACAGTACTGTGTTTGTGAGCCCTGGATTAATTGTCCGTTGTGTAAATATTGCTCCTCATAAGACTTTGTTCTTATTCTATTCTCAAAGATATTTTGAAACTTAGGTAAACTTATAAAAGATATTTGCTTAGGGACTACTGCTCTGTAAAAAAATGGCTGTTAAAAAAACAATTATTTCTTTTTTTTAATCAAAAATAGTCTTCATTGATATTATTATACTACTAGTTTACTCTTACTTAAATAATTATTGAAAAGTATAACCGTATAGTGACAGTAATACTTATCCCTAACAGTTGTGTGTAAATATGTGAATTTATTTTCCTGAGCTAACTTATTAACCTAGAATAGTTTTCTATAGATTTTCCTAGTGAGGTTTTACATAATGTTAATTGTTTCTGAAGCTGTTATTTTTCCCAGGATAAAGGTTGAAAAAAAATTAATGTAAGGTTTTTAATGCTAAGTAGTTAGTAAAATATGTTCTTTACTATTGTAATCTTTTTTTTTTTTTTTTTGTCTTTTTTTTTAAACAACAGGTACCATTTGGTCCCTTTGCTTTCATGCCAGGAAAACTTGTGCATACTAATGAAGTCACTGTTTTACTTGGGGACAACTGGTTTGCCAAGTGCTCTGCCAAGCAGGCTGTAGGTTTAGTTGAGCACCGGAAAGAACGTAGGTACCACTTACAAACGGTGTTTTCTTGTTGTTTGTGTATCTTTTTCCCAAATTGCCAACCTGATGGGCTCTTACCAAGTGGAACTCTTGAAGTATATTACAGGTAGTTGAGTAGGACCAACATTTGAGAGTAGAGTGGATATCTGGGTTACAAATACCACTACATTGGCTCCAAAATTGCAAAGTGTATTTATATGTAATTGTGTGTGTTGAAGTTGGCCAGACTTCAGTGTTGGGACATTTTACACTTTATAATTGGTTTGTTTAGCTGCTTTCTTGGACTGACTTTTGCTTCAGTACACAGAAGGAATTTACGTTTTGCTTAGTGGATTAAGAGAAGTTTTGTTTGCCCAAGTGTAATATACTTAAAAACGCTTTCTGGAAGAAGACTTTTTCAAGTAGAGGAGGCCAGGTACCTATAGTGGCTCTCTTACTTTGTGGTGGTTTGAGATCTCTGACTCATTAAAGTTGTTTATTTTGTTTATGTGTAATGTTACTTGTTTGGGTGCGTGCATATGCATGAGCACCCCCTGCACATGCTGATGTGTGTTCACACCCCTTCCTCCGCCTCCATTTCCAGTTCAGAGAGTTCCCCGGAGTTCTTGCTAAGTTGCATTTTAACTTAGGTTTATTTACTTTATACTGGGTATTCTTCTGTAAGGATATTTAAATTGTTAGCATAACGTCACTCCTACCTGCCTTTTCACCTTCTAGTTAAATGTCTAAAAATAAATCTTGTAAGGATTATTTTGAATAAATGAGGTCATACGAGATAGAAAGCAGCTGGATTTTCGAAAGCTGAAATTATTGCGCTGATGCATGAGTGTGACTAGTTAGAGAACTCATCTACTTGGTGAAATTCTGGAACTATATTTGGAAACTAATTGCAAACCATTTCCTTTAAGTTTATAATTGATACGTATTTAGATCTTTTGTGGCACTACTCAGAAACTTATTGTTGGGCTTGTGTCTGATATCTGACAATGGGAAATGTCCTGGGGCTGCGTAAGATAGCACTGTGTTAGAGTGTGCGTGGTCCTTCTCAGAGAGGCCTTCCGTGTGGCCTGGAACCGTGTCATCACCCTTCAGAGTTTGTTCCTTCTGATTTTGATATTTCAGTGAAGAAATCTTTAAAATCAAGTATGTCTTAAAATACTAAGGGGTAGAATATTCTTAATACAGGAGTAGAGCAGTAGAGAAATTATTTTTTTTCTTGTATATCATGTATCGTTTCCTAAAATTAAATAATGGTTTTAGAAAGTGGCCAAACATGATGATCTTGGGATGATTTTGTATCTATCTAAAATAATTTTCAAAGTCACCCAGAATCTCTTGATAAATGACTTTTATAAATTATTCACACAGCATGATTTTGATTTAGAATAACTAAATAAGATACTTAGATTTGTTATTTTACTTAACATTTATTAAGAAAAGTTACAGCAGCCTCACCCTTACCTCCAAATTGCACATAGTATTCTATAATTCAGTGTCTTGAATTTTAACAAAGCACTTATTTAATTATAACTTCTGTAGTTTGATAGAAAATCAGCCCAAATTTCTTTTTCTTTTTTCACAATTTCATGGATATTTACTTTAGCAAATGATTTTTTTCCTCGTTGTCAAGAATGTTTCTCTTTCTGCTTAAGTAGTAAGTAAGTGCCTTCTGGCTTCTCTTTCACATGTCGGGATTGCCAGAATCACTCCTTTTATACTTTGGGGCTATTTTACGCCACATTCTGATGACCAGAATGGCTACCAAGTCGCCAGGGGTCGAGTGGCAGATACACCCTGACTGCTAGACAGAACGTAACTGTCTCGGGCTGTCTCGGGCTCACACTACACGGAACAATGCAGTTCAAAACTCACCAGTGTATTGTTTTTGGAGTTTCTCACTTAATATTTTGACTGTGAGAAACTGAAGTGAAACAAAACCAGAGAAAGAGAGAAGCTACTGTATTTTATTGTTCTTAAGGCAGGAGAAATATAACAAGTTAAAAATAGAGTCCTCTTTTACACTCTTGACTGAATGGCTGGGGAAGATAGGTAAAGGTTATTGCATGTCAAAAGTTTAGGATAAGGGATAAAATGAACTTAGCGCCAATAGGAGCAAAGGACTAGGGGAGGTCAGAGAAAGGTGGTTTGAAAGGGAAAAAAGGTTAAGCCTAGTGTTGCTATTCTTTGTGTCATATGTTTGAAAACGATTTTATTTACTTATTTGGAAGGTGTCATTAGAGATCTTCCATCTACTACTGGGTTACTCCCCAAATGGCCATAGATGGAGCTAGGCCAGCCTGAAGCCAGGAACTTCTGGGTCTCCCAAGTGGGAGGCAGGTGCATCCCCAGGAACCTTGACAGGGAGCTGAATCAGAAGTTGAACAGGGGCCCAGGGGCGTGGCCTGGTGGCTAAAGTCCTCGCTTTGAACACGCTGGAATCCCATATGGGCGCCGGTTCTAATCCCGGCAGCTCTACTTCCCATCCAGTTCCCTGGTTGTGGCCTGGGAAAGCAGTTGAGGACGGCCCAAAGCTTTGGGATCTTGCACCCGCGTGGGAGACCGGGAAGAGGTTCCTGGTTCCTGGTTTCGGGTCAGCGCAGCACCAGCCGTTGCGTTCACTTGGGGAGTGAATCCTCAGATGGAAGATCTTCTTCTCTGTCTCTCCTCCTCTCTGTATATCTGACTTTGTGATAAAAATAAATAAATCTTTAAAAAAAAAAAAGAAGTTGAACAGCTGGGACTTACATCTGTGCCCAGAGGGGATGCTGATACTGCAGGCAGTATACCACAATGATAGCCTTTCTGCCCATATTTTGCGTATTTTGCCATTTGGTAAGAGTATGATTATCTCCCATTAAAAAAATTCAAATTATTATACAGTGACACAGGCTTTTATTTTTACACTCTTGTGAATTGTGTAACAAGCATCACAGTTGGGATACAGACTAGAATACTGATGGTAACATGGTCAGGTCACAGACTCAACCACATTCCCTCTGCTGTGCTTGTGTGTCAGGAGAGTCGTCCCATGTGTTCTGCCCTCCGTCCTCTGCCGTGGAGCTACATATCTGCAGGCCTCAGTGAGGATGGACAACCAGTGATCTGCTCTCTCTCACTCTTGTTTCCTTTTTAAAGATTTATCTGTTTTTTATTGGAAAAGCAGATTTACAGAGAGAAGGAGCTACAGAAAGAAAGATCATCTGTCCACTGATTCACTCCCCAAGTGGCCATAATTCCTGAGACTGAGCCAATCTAAAGCCAGAAACCAGGAGCTTCCTCTAGTTCTGCCACACAGGTGCAGGGTCCCAAGGCTTTGGGCCATCCTTTACTGCTTTCCCAGGCCACAAGCAGGGAGCTGGAAGGGAAGTGGTGCAGCTGGGACATGAACTGGTACCTGTATGGAATCCAGGCATGTTCAAGGCTAACATTTAGCCACTGAGCCAACGCACTGGACTCCTTTATCACTGCTAGTTTTGGCTTTCATAGAATGTTGCAAATGAACCTTTTTTTCCCTTCCTGTATTTTGGGGAGGAGGGGAGAAGAGGCAGGAGAAGGCTGCTCTTAGCAGCCTAACTACATCAGTACCCTGGGATGGAGGGATGGCCACTTTGCGTCATCCTAGGATACCCAGTGTGGAGCATTTCCAAGGGTACCACTTAAGTGATTTCTATAGTTCTGAGATGCTGTTGATTTTGTTGCTTCAAGATTGAGGAAATCCTTCCAAGGTCCATTGGCTGATACAGACCACCGTAGAGTCTCCACTTACCTGGATGCTTGTCAAAGCTTACCTAGGAGAGTTGTCCAATTTGTTGTGTCCTCTGTCTTCTGTCATGGTACTAGATATCCTTTGCAGGTCTCAGTGATCTGTCATGTCCTTCATGTGCATCCGAGCCTGCCATCCACTGCACAGGGTTCAGTAACCGAGGAAACCCGGTTCTGACTCGTATACTCCACAGTCAGACCACAGATCCTGTGATTTTCCCCCTGAGGTCTGAGTTTTGAGTTCTGTGGTTGAGTTAGTGGGGTTTCCCAAAGAAACTTCATCAGAGTTAACCCAAGACCTGACTGCACTGTGTGCCATGTAATGTGGGGTCCAGCTCAATCCATCACCTACATCAGCCATTGCAGTTTCCTGGTAAGTTCTGTCCCCAACCCCATCTCATATGTAAACCAACAGATGCTGTGGCCCAGCCTAACCCCACCCACCACAACTCGGCCCTCACACCTATTCAGAGCAACCCCCAATAACCCCTACCAGTCCTACCTCCAGCCCTGGTTCCTGTGCATGCCGGTATGTACAACAGACTGATCTAGTCTGTCCCATATTCCATTTGGCTCTTGTACACACAGTCGGTGCTGCAGCCCATTCATTCCCACTCTCTGGCCCACACTTGTGCTGGTGGGTGTTATCACTTGTCCAGCCAGGCTGGTCCCCAGCCTTGGTTCTCATGCTCACTGATGGGAGCTGCAGCCCGTCAGAGGGCTACCCACAGTTTCCCTAAAAGGCCTACTTTCAGCCTCAGTTCTTGCATGTTGCAAGTGCTACTGCGGTTCAGCCTGACAGATCTGCCTGCAGTCCTGGCATTTGCCAGCCAATACTGTGGCAGAGCCTGACCAGCTTGCATTTACTCTGGGTCATGGATGTGTCAGTAGATACAGTCATCTCACTCGGCCTGGCTTTCCTCCAAACTAGTTTGCATACAGGCCAGTGGATGTTGTATCCCTGCCCAGCCTGGTTCACCCCAAGTTTCAGCTTTCTCTCATCAGTGGAAATAGTGGCCCAGTCGGGGAGGCCCCACATAAGGCAGCCTTCTTATCAGGCTTGGCACCCACCCCCCAGTCCTGCATGTGCTCTTGGGTGCTGAAGCCCAGTCTGGCATGGCTGCCTCACCCCAGCATTCACAGGCAGGTGTTGCAGCCTAGCTCAACCCAGGCAGCTCCCAGTCCTGGCTCTAATGTGAACTGGCTGGTGTTGTGCCCCAACCCGGTCTGTCCTGCAC